TCTTTTTGAACAATGCCACTAAATTTAATCTGTCTAAATAATGTCTTACAAATTATTTCAGTTGAAGAATTTTACCTTCTACATGAACAATTTACCTTTCCTCAAGTTTTAAATAATTTTAAATTTAAATTTTAAGAAAACAATTTTAAAGTTAAATTAAATTTTAAATATTTAAAATTTTAAATAAGTTGTGGTGGGGCGCTTTATGAAATATTTGTGATGGAATAGTTTCTCCTTATTCTGTGCTGTCACTGGGTATTATTCAAGCTTCAAGTCAAAAGATAAAGTAAAAAAAAAAAAAAAGTCTGTGAGTTGTTTTCCCTTCTTCTATCCCATCTTCAAATTTCTTCTTCCTGTGCCAATTCCCTCAGCCAGGGGTGATGTGTTAGGAAATCTGGTGAGGGGATATGGGTTTGGTGATCCTAAGGGACCCACAAGTTTTTCTACATTTAACTGGAAATCGGCTTTGGTTGCGTATTGCTAATGTAATTCTTTCGATGTAGTCTTGAGCTTTTGTTTGTTTGTTTACATGTAATTAAAATGCCTGTACTACACCCCCCTCCAAAATTCACAGTTTCTGAGTTCAAAAAAATTTGTTTAAATAATCTCACCTTGAGGTGTAGAAAGTCTGGGAGGTGGGGGTCAGGAATGGGATTTGCTTCTTAGCTTTTTGGGGTCTGGTCACCCCAAAAACATGAAGGGGGCAAAGTGGAGCCTTGGATCCCAGAGCCATTTTCCAGGCATGCCGACTGTCATTTTGGATGAATCCTTTTGCCAAACTCTTATGGAGGTTAGTCAAGTAAAATGGTACCCCTCCAAAAAAAAACTCCCCAAACTCAAACCCATCTGTTTCTCTTGTTCTGTCCCATAAAAAGTTTTCAGGCCTCATCCAGGGCTCTTGGCACAATTTTAAGGTAAGAGGCATTTATCCTGCCTCTTTCTATCTGCCTCTTACTTGCTGGCCTCCCCATTCCAGACACCCCATCACCCCTCCAGCACCCCCACTGTGCCCTCAGTCTGCCCAAATCCGCCATCTGTCCAGCCTCAGGCATCCAGCCTCACCTGCTAGGCACAGGGCTTCCAGCCGGGTCCCTCCTGGCCCAGATCAGCTCCCACCCACAGGACGTGTCTCACCCAGGAGTTCTGAGATCGTCAGTTGAGTTAAATTTCCTGGGGGGGCTTATCTGCATGAAAAGAACAAAAACACCTGCAGAAATTTTAAACACCACCTAGACTCTGGGAATGCAAAATGCTGTTCCTGGGCCAGCATGGAGTGAGGACCTCACCTGGGAGCTGGTTAGAATGCAGAATCTCAGCGCCCACTACAGACCTTCTGAATCAAAATCTGCATCTTTGTTTTTAAACTGAAGTATAGTCAATTAGAATGTGTCAGTTTCTGGTGTACTGCACAATGTCCCTGGCATGCATATACATACATATATTCGTTTTCATGAAAGGTTATTACAAGATATTGAACATAGTTCCCTGTGCTATACAAAAGAAACATTTTTTAAAAAATTATTTTTATATATAGTGGCTAACATTTGTAAATCTCAAACTCCCAAATTTATCCCCTCCCACCCCCTTCCCCCTGTTAACCATGAGATTGTTTACTATGTCTGCAAGTCTGTTTTTGTTTTATAGGTAAGTTCATAGTGTCCTTTTTTTTTTTAGATTCCAAATATGAGTGATATAATATGGTATTTTTCTTTCTCTTTCTGGCTTACTTCACTTAGAATGATGATATCTGGGTCCATCCATGTTGCTTCAAATGGCATTATTCTCTCTTTTTTATGGCTGTGTAGTATTCCATTGCATAAATATACCACTTCTTCTTTATCCAGTCATCTGTTGATGGACATTTAGGCTGTTCCCATGTCTTGGCTATTGTAAATAGTGCTACTATGAACATTGGGGTGCAGGTGTCTTTTTGAATTACAGTTCCCTCTGGATATATCCAGGAGTGGAACTGCTGGATCATATGGTGAGTCTATTTTTAGTTTTTTGTCCATATTGTTTTCCACAGTGGCTGCACCAAACTGCATTCCCACCAGCAGTGTAGGAGGGTTCTCTTTTCTCCACACCCTCTCCAGCATTTATAAAATCTGCAACTTAACCAGACCCTCTGAAATTCAAGGACACCTTGTAGGAAGGGAAAAACTTCCTTCTACCCTTCTAGTCTCTGTGAATGGACCTAAGAATTAAACTGATGCAAGACAGATTAACAGGAGCAAAGCATTCACAAGCATACACAGGCTTCCTCCCTCTCTCACCCTCCTGCATCCTCAAAGAATGTAGCAAATGGCAGGAGGGCATCAGCCCGCCTTGCTCTCTGATGCCCAGACAATAGCGATGCCACTTGATTTCTGTCGCTCCTTCTGAGTGCTTGCAATTGTGGCGTATCCTTAGGATGATGAGTAAGTAAGTGGCTGGAGGTCTTATGGAGTAAATCCCTTGCAGTCCTGCAGAAACTGTTAACGTTGACCTAATTAATGAGACTGCAGATCTGCAAGGCATCTCGTTTTCAGAGCACAGGCCTTAGAGTTCCCTTTCTTGGCAATTTCCCTGGAACATTCAGCAAATGGCAAGAAAAGGGCAATTTAAGGCAGGGCTTTTAAATTGTTTTATTTATTGAAATATAGTTGATTTACAATGTGTAAATTTCTGGTGTACAGCATAGTGATTCAGTTATACATATATATTCCTTTTCATATTCTTTTTCATTATAGGCCATTACAAGGTATTGAATATAGTTCCCTGGGCCATACAGTAGGACCTTGCTGTTTACCTATTTTATATACCGTGGTTAGTATCTGC